CTTCCTCTCTCTCTCTCTCTCTAGATATATAGATGGATATCTCGTTTTGCTTCTGTAACGACTCTACCTAGTTACAATATGTGTGCGCGACTTATTGTCTTTCAGACTTCTTTATATATTTATATATATATATATATATATATATATCTTTTTATTCTATTTTTACTTTTGTTTGTCGCTATCTCGTTAACGCAGTCGATGTCGAGGCTGCAGTGGTAAAAACTCCTTCGTTGTGGTGTGGTCGCTGGGATGCTCTGCGACGATGCCTGAAGTTGTAGCTGCGGCGGTTTCCTCTCAAATGCGCAACTTTGGACACACACGCAGAACCATGAAGGAGAAAAGCGGCAGGACGCTCTGTGGCGGCAGCAGCAACACATTCACACAGAGAGCAAGAGGTTGAGAAAGGAAATGCATGCATGTAAATACAAATATCTGGCTTCTGAATAAATGTTAAGTATATGCGGCTTTCCGTGTGTACGTTCCCTCTTTCTTGCCTCGTTCTGTGCCCAACAGTGCAAGGCAGCCGACACACACACACGCACGCCCTATTTCCTTCACAATCGCAACCACAAAAGACGTCTTTGCATTCCTTTTTTTTTTCATTAGTTTATCCCCTCCTTTTTTTATATATAAAAAAATAATAATCTATTTTTTCTGTTCCCCCTTTTTTTTTCTTTGAAGTTCCGGTACTTCTTCGTGGCACACTCCATGCCGCAGGCGTTTGTTTCGGCCACGCACCTCCCCCAACTGAGCAGCCTGCCTCTTCCAAACCGTCGGCGCCAACTTCGAACGGAAGCCCCCCCCCCCCCCTTACACACAAAGGCATACCACAGACAGCCGAAGGACAAAATGTGGTGGCGTCACCACCACGTTTTGGTTAATACGAGGGAGCGGCGATGGTGTTGCCTCGCAGTTATCTTGTTTTTTCTTCTTTCTTCTCCTTGGTTTTTGATTTTGCCTCCTCATCTTTTTTTTTTTTTTTGTATTCTACGGGTAGAACTTCGCAACCGTCATCTTCATCTCCAGCACCGTCATGGAATCCTGCACCAGCCGCTCCACCGCTGTAGAGGAATGCAGCTGCAGCACGCAGTCAGCGCTGTTGCGGCCGTACCAGTAGGCGTCAAGGGGGTCCGTGCCGAGGGCAGCTGCCACCGCCTCTTTGATGTCAGACAACTTGACGGACTTCGGCACCCGCACAAGGCGAGCATACTCCGTGTTTCCCTTCCTGCTGGGACGAGGGCGCGCCCGTGCCGGATCCCTCGCCTCACCTGCAGCCGCTGCTTCCGTGGCAACTGCTGATTTTGGTTTCGCTGTCTCCTCTGTTGCCGACGCTGCGGGTCCTCGCTGTGCTTCGGCGGCCTCCTTCTTGTTGGCGTTATTGTATGTGTCGCTTTTCGCCCCCTCTGCCTTGCTGTCGGCACGCTTCTCCAGAGCCGCCCTTGAGCGTGGAACGGGCATGTTTAGGTTAGGTTTGCCGCCGCTGTTTTCGGGTTTAACAGCCTCCGCGTTGGGCTGCTCGCGAACGCGCGAGGCGCGTGTGGGTCGTGGCGCGGAGAGTTCCTCCGCCGCGCTCTTTTCCTCACGCGGCTTCAATTTTTCGCTTCCTTCCCCCCGCCCACCGTCACGGCGTTCCCCGTTTTGTTTGCTGCGGTCGTCGTACCTGCTGTTGGTGCGCTCTGCACGCTCGGCCCGGGGGTTTTTGTTGCTGTTCCCTTCATTACGGTTGAGGCGCCGCATGTCCGTGCGCTCGCCCCTCCGGTCATCACTCCGCTCCGGGCGATCCCTGCGGTTGCTAGCGCCGCCAACGTAGCCGCTATTGCTGTTGTTGCTGTTAAGGCGGTCGCCGCGTTCACGACGAAGCCCCTTTTCCTCACGTGCCTGCTGCAGCCGAAGGGTCTCAGCCGCCGCCGCCGCCGCTGCCGCTGCTTCCGCCGCCGCCTGCTGTAGACGCATCTGCTCACGGGCCTCCTCCGCGCGTTTGCGGCGCTCGTGCTCCTCCAGCAGGTGTTGTGCGACCTGCGCCGGGGTCATGACGATACGGTCCTCCGGTATCTGCTCCACCTCCACCATCATCACGCGGAAGTAGTCCATGGCGATGTGGTACGTGCTGGTACGGTACTGGGTCGGGGCCAACACAAACACCTGGAAGAAGCCTCTGCGGTGGCCGCGGAGGTACATGATGCCCTGGCAGACAATGTGGATGCATCCACCCGGCAGCGGGGTGTAGTCGGCAAAGCGCACCTCCACCTTGCGGCGGCCAAGCACGTCGTCCATCTTGCCGAGGTGCTGCGCAATCTCATGCCGACCCTGCGCAATCACGGTGGTCTCTTCATTGTACCCGGCGTAGGTGACGAGCGAGGACTCCCCGTATAGCTCGACGAGGCCGACGATCTCCTTCTCCTTTACAAGCTCGCGGTAGTACGTCACGAGGAAGCTGCAGGCAACCCCGGCAACAGTCTCGCGGCTCAACATGGCTGCCTCGCGTCTCCCCGGTACGTCAACACGCACGACGGGTGGGTGTCAAAAAAAAAAAAAAGGAAAGAATTCTTTGGTTCCCTCCTTACAGCGTGTGTGTGTGCGTGTGTGTGTGCGTGTGTGTGGTCCAAAAACGAGCAAACACGCACACAAAAAAGGCCTTTAGAGAGTTACTTCTAGGACAAGAAAAACAACAACTAAACGTCGCTACTTTAAAAAAAAAAGTTTACTTCCACACACACACGAATAAAATAAGCATAAACAAAAAAAAGGAAGGCACCAATGAAAAAGGAACATTAAGAAACAAGTAGAGAGGGATACAAATTCATACACACGGACAGAGAAGGGCGCACACCGAAAGGGGCGTGGGCAAAGGTGTGATAGATTAAAGCGAAGGCGTCCCGTAAGAGAAGGCAAGCAATGTTTATAGCTGCGATGGATGCAGCCCTCCCGGCGGGTGTTGTGCCACCATGAGCGGGGGCACCTCCTTCGCCAGCTGCCGCGCAAGCGGTGCCAGGTCTGTCGTCTCATCCAGCAGTTCATTCAAATACAGCAGGGTGTCGGGGCGCTCATTCGTGATGCCGCGTATGGCATTGTTGGTTTTTTTTCCAACGTCGCCGCCGAGCGCAACATCCAACATCCCGCGCACGTTGTCAATCTTTTCCAGACGCTTGCCGAGATCAATCCCGCGTTCCTTCTCAACGTGGAAGATGCGCTGCAGCCCAGCGACAGAAACAGGCTCCAGCCGCTTCTCCACAAAATATTCAATTAGGCCGTACTTGCCGCAGAATCCCCTGTCCGCCGCCTTGCTGAGGGAAATGGCGGCGCCTGTGGGAAGGACATTGTTGTCCAGGTCCTCACAAATCGACGCCACGGTCTCCTGTGCATCCATCAGAGCCTGCACGATGACACCCTTCGCCCCACGCTTGACCCACCCTGCACAGTACAGCCGCGGCTGCCCCGTCACACGGCCACGCTGGTGCGGAATGACGCCAAGTGCGTCATCAAATGCGACACCGGGGACCCCATAGGATCGATACCCCACCGACGTGATGGCGACATCGCACGGAAGCGTCAAGGTCGTCGAAGGCTTCCTGCTTTGCCCGGCGGCAACGTCAGTGCGCTCGAACACGACAGCGCCCACGTGGTTGCTGCGGTCGGGGTGCGGCAAAAACTGCAAAGGCGTCAGATGATAGCGCAGATGCACAACGCATGGACCGCGCGCGTGTTTTGGCAGAGGCGGCGCCGGTGGCGCGTCCGGCACATCGCCCACCGCCTCATCCCCGCCGCCGCTTGTGTCAGTGAAGCGAGAGACAAGTTCGAGGAGTCGCTTCCGCGCGCGGGGGTTTTCTGCCGGCATGCGCAGGGCCTCCTGCAAGTCAAACGGGTCGACTACCACCCGCACCGTGTCGGCGTGGAACCGTGTCAGTTCCCGAAACTCGGCGATGGTAAAGGCGCTCTGGGCATGGCCGCGACGAGCCACAAGGCTGATACGGCGAATTTGGTTCTTCATGAGCTCCCTAATCGCCACACAGTTCATGTCCGTCTCACAGAAGTATTTGTAAGAGGCCGCCAGGACGCGCGCGCAGTCCAGCGCCACGTTGCCATTGCCGACGATGACCGCCTCTCGCGCGGTCGCAAGGTCAAACGGACAAAACCTCGGCGAACCATGCGGGAAGGGGTAGGTGTTGTAGTACCGCACAAAGTCCCCGGCACTGACGACGCCGCCGAGCTCCTCACCAGGGATGTGCAGCTTGCGGCTGGCATCCGCGCCTGTTGCGACCACCACTGCCGTGTAGTGGTGCAGCAGTGTCTCAATGGAGATGTCCTTGCCGATCGCAACGTTGCCAATCCACGTCACCCGGCCGCTCTTGAACATGTCAAGAAACTGGTGTTCAACATTTTTCACCTCCGGGTGGTCGGGGGCTACGCCATAGCGGCACAAACCAAAGGGCACCGGTAACCGCTCAAACACGTCCACGTGAATGTCGTCGCGCTGCTTCGTCAAGAGGCGCGCCACGTAACACCCGCTCGGGCCACTGCCAACGACGGCGATTTGTATGCGTCGCGCCAGCGAAGACGACTGCTGCTGCCGCTGGCGCCAGACTGCAGTGCCCGCAAGACTTAACCGCCGCGTTGTACTAAAAAACATCGTCTGTAGATACGCCAAGAACCAAAGCGAGACAAAAAAAAAGCCACTAGGCGTATTGCATACGCCGCATGCAGACGTGCCGACGTGTAGTCTCTCGGCCAACCACAGGACACAACGGAGCCTCACCGACCAAAGCTAAGAATGCCTGATAGTGCCACTTGCGAGAAGTACCCCACACCCTGGACGCCATGCAACATAAAATAAAAGAGAGTAAAAACAAAAATAGCGGCGGCGCTGACGACCGAGAGGGACACGTGAGGCCACGATGACGAGCGTCCCCAGCCCTCGCGGGAGAAACACCAACACCACTGCAGCAGCAGAAGGGGGCGTGCGATTGGGTGTGACAGCGAAGGAGTAAAGCGAGCAGTAAGGCCGCAATATATATATATATATATATATGCGATCCTGTCCCTTGGCTTTGCCACTCTTATCAGTCAGCAAAACCAAACAAAACAAAAAACAAAAACAACAAACGGCAAAACGCCCAGTAGCCGAAGCCTGTTCCGCTCGGTGTTTCGCGCCGCTCCATCAACAGGGGTGGGGGAAATAAAGCGGTGCGGGGGAGTTGTGAAGAACCCAACGCGGATCAGTGGGTGGGGAATGAAGACCTCGGCCACACCACTAGGAGGCAATAACGGCGTCAAAAAGGTGGACAAAGGAGAGACCCAGTTAGGGAGAAAAAAATGAAAAAAAAAAACAGATAAAACCAAACAAGGCAAAAATAAAGAAATAGAAAAATAAACTTACACACATGCACAAAAAAAAACAAAAAACGGTGGGAAGTGCCGTTAAAAAAACCACAGACGCTCATTCAGGGGTGCAGGGATCATGTCGCATGTGAATGGTGGGACGGCGTCCAATAACCGTTCCGCTACACTTGACAAGCGGTGAGCACATCGTGCGGCCATTGGCAGCTTCGTTGCCTGCGGCGCCTGCACATGCGAGAGGACATGTGACAACTGTTGTACGTCTGACACATCCAACGTGGGGCTGGTGTTGTGGACGATGTATTGCACAGTGCGGGCGGTGGACATGCTGCAGTCGTGGTTCTGCAGGTAGAAGGATGGCGCCACGGCGTCATCCAGCAGAGAAATAGGCGTGAGGCCCTGTACGACGGCTCCGCCCGCAACATTGACGGCCGTTATCTTGGGGAAACCGCTTCCCTCCGGCAGCCGCTGAACAAAACGCACGTTTGTTCGCTTGTGAAGGCACATGAACGTAAATCCACAACCGGGCGGCAGATGTGCCCGCATCTGCCGTGCCTCACTGTACACATCCCCGTCTTGAAACACAACTACCTCATCCACCCCGTCGTACAGCTCGCACGCCCGCTGAAGGAGGATGTGAAAGTGCTCTGTGACCCGGTCTGTCTCCTCCCCGCGCATCTCGTGCTTCCAAAAAAACGGCAGCAGGTGGTTGCGCTCGGGGGCGCACAAGATCCCCACGACGCTGCCTGTGCTGAAGGTCGTTGTGTGGCAGGCGTCCACGCCCACGACGAGCACGCGGCGCTGCGCCAACGCCGGCACCTCCCGGGCAACATCCACCCCGTGGGCAGGGTCCGTCCCAAACTTCGTCCGGAGTTGCACTTTCACGTTTGCGCACAATATATTTTGCCGCTTCAGGTTGGCGGCGGGCGGCACAAAGAACGCAAGAATGCCACGCGTGAGACATTCGGCCAGGAGCCAACGCGAAGAACGTGTCTCGCGCTCTGCGGAGATAATCACAGCGGCCGTGTTCGGGTCTTTTGTTGCCCCGCCCGAGGCGTCTGTGAGTTGCCGTAGTAGAAATCGCCCCGCCTCGTCCTCATTCGGTACAGTGATGGTGAGAGAGCTGCGGTGGTACCGCGCCACAGCCTGTGCAGTCTGCGTGATGCGTGCACGTTCCTCCTCGCCGACATGCGGCGGTGCGATGGCAACCACCGCGAGAGTTGTGGGGAAAGGCGGCGGCGGCACGTGACGCAACGAGGTGGAGTGACTCTGCTCATTCTTCGAAGGACCACGTTGTCCGACACCATAGGCGGTGACTTTCTGCGGCGTGGGAAGCAGTGAAAGTGCCTTGGAGGAGAATGGCTCTGCCGCCAGTATGAGTCCCCAGCGTTGCATTTCGCTCCTCAGCGCCGTGTGAAACACCTTAAGAATGTCCAGTCGCTGTGTGGGCAGGAAGGAGCAGGTGGAGACAACGATGTCTTGCCACAACTTCATGCAGGGGTCGTAGCAGCAGTGCAGGGCCTGCAGAGGAACAACACTGTGGTCATTGAGCACTGCGTAGGGCTGACCCGGCTCAAGGTCCGGCAGAAGCCGCAACAGCAAAGGATCAAGGCTCACCGCGTTGGAAACAATGTTAAACCGAACGAGGCGAATCACAGAGTGGCGCAGAGTGGCGGATATAATCACAGGTGTTCTCTGCACGGACTGTGCGATGCGTTGCTCTGTATCACTGTCGTAGGGGCCGTTGCCAAAGTGTTGCTTCACCTCCTCCCAGATCGAGAGCTCCGCAGCGACGGTGCTCTTTGTGTCAATCTTCAGCGCAAATGCCCTCGATATTTCTTGCACTGCGCCTTCCTTAGTGGCATCCGACAGCCGCTTGTCGCATGCTACCTCACAGCTCCCTTTCTTTCCTGACACAGACGCGTCGCTCTTCGGTGTTTGTCGCTGCCTTGTCGACTTGGCTCGACCCGATGCACTTTCCCCCTCCAGCACGGGCCTCAGTGCCGTCTCCCCCGTCGTCATCTCCACCAGCCGCATGCCACCACGGTTCTCAAACACGCGGACGCGGTAGTCCGTCGCCTCGTACACGGCTCCAGGGGAAAGCTTCGCCGCCATGGTGGCCTTCCACAAGGACGCCATGATCACACCTGAGGCGTCCTGTATTTTGTAGCTCTGTACAGACGTGCTTTTAAACTCAAACTCACGCACAAACTCCTTGACAAGAAACTGCAACGGCGCCGTGGGATAATGTCCCGCCTTTAATGTCGTCAGCACCGCCGTGGAGGGTACAGCTTGAGCGGTGGCGGCCGCCGCGGGCGTCAATGCATCCACGGCGCCCGTCGCGTCAATAAAAACGGCTCGAACAATAGCTCCCTTAAAAAGGCGTATCCCTTCCACACTAAAGCTTTTGTGTGTCCACACCAACTTTCCGTCCGTTTCCCGTGCCACCATGAACTTTTTGTGCTGGTTTCCCTGCCACCCCAGCGTCCACGCAACAATTTTGTTGGTCACATCCTGGAGGTCAGCGGGCGAAAGCTGCGCCATGGCGACCTTCCCCTCGGATCGCAGCTTGCACGCCACCCAGCCCAAGTCGAGATACTCGGCAGGTAGCTGCAGCGCCTCTGTGGGGATCGGAGAGAGCGCGTACACTTTGTGCCGAACGCACACCAGCGGCGGCGCGGCCGGAACGCAGCGCTGCAGGAACCGTCGCATTACACGCCAGGCCCGTGTCGCGTCAACCCGCTTAACGATTGGGTCATCCGCCGCGGCAACGGCCGCGGGTGCCACTGTTCGACTAACCCCCTTTTTACGACGTCCTTTGGACTTTCCAGCGCCCTTTTCCCGCTGGGCGTCTGGCGGCCGCGTCTGAAGTAGGCGACGGGTGGCCTCAAGGTCGTAGATGTAGAGGGTCGTGTCGGGGCTCACATGCACTGGGAATAAGTTGGACATAACACCCCCATCGCGCAGTCGCTGACGCACAGCAGTGCGTGCCTTTTTATCGAGAAAGCGGTCATAAGCGTGTCTGCGCTTGACGTCCCGCAGCGCCACCTCTTCGGCATCCGAGCACCAGAAGGACTTGCTGCATGTCGGGCCGGCGCCGTCCTTCGCGTTGCTCCGCGCATCACGGACGCCGCCAATCTTCGCCGCGTCGACGGGCTGCTGCTGCTGCTGCGGCGGCGGCGGCGGTGGCGGCTGACTCCAGTGCTTGCTGTGGGCTGCAAGTGCCTGTAGTGTCATTGACACCAAACCCAAAGCCGTCTTCTGCATCATCGTTGGCTGTAAAAAGGCAATGCACTTAAGGCTAGCAGAATTTCTCATTTAAACACACGAGAAACAGCAGCACAAATACACGTCGAACGGCCACAGCCGCATGTATGCATTACACGAACGCAAACACACAAATACACAGGCAGACAGGCGCATGGGCCGGGTGAGAGAAATGGATAGGGGCGCAGCGTAAGAGATAAGTGCCCACAGAGGCCACAAACAAGAACAACCAGAAGAAGCGTCATCAAAACAAGTATACAGACAAAAAGAATAATAATAAGATTCAGTTCCATTTTTGACCTGCGTGGGATCCCACATGGTGCCAAAAAACACAAACCCAACCACTCCCTCGCTACATCCAAAAGGAAAACATGCAACTATCTCTCTCTCTCTCTCTCTTTCACTTTCTCTTTCTTTCTCATCTCTATCGCGAGAAGCTACACTTCTGGCGCTCTTTTTTTTTTTCGCTTCCTTGCCTTCCAACAAAAAAATGTCTTTTACCTCGCCAGGTCAAAACATCAGCGCGTGGGCGTCGACATAGCGGTGGATACCCCCCACACAGCTGCGCACCCTCCTTACTGCACTAAACTTTTACGACGTCCAATCTTTAGCCTCCGCCACTCCGCGAGGCTCTCACGCGACTCGCTCGTAGAGAAGGATGTACGCCGTTGCCGTCACCACTTCGCTGACAGGAATGGGCACCCCCCAGAAGTGCTGCATCTCATATTCCGTCATCTCCGACACGGAGTCGTCATTGAAGAGGAGCCAGCGCCCACCCATCCGCACGCAGGTGAAGTAGTGGCCAAGTGTGGGGCCGCTACCCACGTGTGTGACAAAGCCACTCAATGCGAAACGCCCCTTACGGTGTGCTACACCGTTCAACTTTTTCATCAGACGTGAGGAGGGGCGCGGGATGCCCCCTGCAGCGTCACCTTCAACGTCCGCAACTGCATCTACGGCCATGGATGGGGAACACGAGGAGCGTGCGGCGCGCGACTCGCCCCCAGAGGCAGCCTGCGTGTTGGCGTTGTCGTCATCCTCCCACGGCTCGTACTCCACCACGTCAATCTCGCTTGGGAGGGCAATGTGGTCGCTACGCTTCATCATACTTCCCCGCTTCTCGTTATACTCAAACCGCTTCAGGTGCACTAGTAGGGCGTACTCCGGCAGACGATGCACGCGGAGCAGCTTCTGCGCGACCACTTGCTTCTGGCAATGATCACAGTACAACGTGTTGTCCCCGTGGAATAACTCTGGGGAGCCAAAGTTCGCCATGCATCGCAGCAGCGAGGAGCCCTGCTCAACGTCAAGGCTGAGGTCAACAAAGGCCTCCCGCATCATTGTCACTTTCTCACACTCCAAACACGCTGTCAGTGAGATAAACTGGCCCCCGAAGATCACTTGCAAGGGTGACGCCGTACTCCGATCGACATCTGCGCCCGTTGTTGTTGTCCCCGTGGAACCCGCTACGCTACGAATTTCAAATGCATCACCATTCATTGCCGAGGCCTCTGGTCGCGGGGCTCGACTTGTCTCACGAAGGGCAGGGGGTAGCTCCAAATATTCCTCCCGAAGGTCCATTAGACCCAGCGATTCCACGGAGCTACCCAACTTGCGGCTCCGACGCAGCATAGCCTTCCACTTGGGCCGCTTGCTGATTTTTGCACCAAAAAAGAGGGCACGATTCTTCTCATCTCCCATCATGCGTGTCTCTGTTTCTATCATGCTAGATAACAAAAACATTGCAAACTCATGGGCATCATGCTGGAAGCTGTTGTTAAACGTCGCATTTTGTTTTCGTATACATGTCAGAAGTGCCCGGGGTGCAACAACTTCCCTCTGTTGTTTCTTGTGATTATTGGCCTTGTGCAGCTTTGCAAACAGATCCGCCACAAGCGCCAGCAGGGTGCCATCCTCAAATCCAGTATGCCCCAGTCCTTTCTCATATATCTGATTCAGCTCCAGCAGCCGCAGCCGTAGCGGGGAGCAGTGGTAGAGTAGCTGTAGAACAGCGTTGCAGTAGCATGTGTTGCCGTAGTTCTCCAACCCGGTTGGGTATCCATTAATTTCCAAGAAACGAGCATAAATGGGCGATGGTGACAGGCTGGGGGAAGCGAAGCTTACTTGGGTGCTGTCTTGACTGGAAAAAGAGTGCATACGGTACGAACGCAACATTGGTGTGGACTGCGTCGCCAACGAAAGCTCATTGTTGTAGATTGGAATTGGGGATGATAGGCAGAACGACATTTTAGATGAGAGGCATTGATGCCACTTGTCGGTCGTGCTGCACGGATACTCGGAGGCAGCAAAGGAAGTGTCTGAGGCACCTTTGCTGCAAATCTCACGTGACTCAGTCTCACGCGCCCCTCCACAAATTAATTCACTACCGTTGTTAGACCCCTTGCTGTGCCTGTAGGTGTCTATGACCAGTGGGGGAGGCTGCAGTGATGGAATGGAGACTCTGACAGCTGACACCGGCGCTGATAACATGCTACCACCTGCATTACTTGAGGTGGTGGGCTGCTCTCGCGGTGGTGGCCGCACCTCCTTGCCTTTTCGTGGCCTTGAATTCTTAACCCCCATGGCGCCACAATCCTCGCTCAATAAATAAATGACGCACCTAACGTAAACGCGCGTGCGTGGAGATGTCCCTCCAAGTCACACACGCACACATTTATCAGCTCCGCAGCAAGGGAAGGGGAAAAAAGAGAGAACCACATGCACCTGCAGAGACACGCGCAGGCACACGGACGCACCGCGCCGATTTTCAGACACCAACCTAAAAAAAAAAAAAAAAAAAAAAAAAAACAAGAAAGAAAGATAGAGAGGAGATGAAAACATATTTTGATTTATTATTATTATTTTTTTTCTGTTGTTCCCCCAACGCAACCACCTCTTTTTTTTGTTTTTCCTTCTTTCCTTCCTCTTGTCGTGCCTTCTTTATTTCTCTTCCGTTCTGGCTTCCCGTCTGTGGAACCAGCGGACAACGCGCATACATGCAGATTTGGGCAACGAGGCAGAGCACCAACAGTAACTGAAAATAAGAAAAAAAACTACTTCCGAGTCCATTTATTTATTTTGCTCCGGGCGGCCAGCGCACTGCATCGCTCTCACCCGCACATGACATTCTTCAGCAGCTCCCTGAATGTGGTATCACGTGCGTCGACGGGCAACACAGTGCGCTCTGTGATGTCTTTGAGCTCCACGCAGACCCCACCCTCCTCGTCCTTAGAGAGCTGCACAATGCCGTACTCCAGCGCGTTGTGCAGGCCCCGTGGAGCCACAGAGATGCCCTTCACCGAGGCGTCAATGGGCTTCACGGCGCGACCGAAGAAGCCATCGCTAAGGTACCGCTCATGCTTGAGAATCTCACCATAGATGATGACTTGCATGGCATAGCGGTAAAATTTGCTGTTGGGAAGATGCATAAGGCAGCCCGTGCAGGGTGTTTCAAAGGAGCCAAAGCGAAAGGCACTCACCACACTGCTGCTCGTCTTCCAGTCCCCAATGAAAAGCTTCTGTGTGCGTTTGTTGCGGGCAATTAAATCGACGGTGCCACCGATGCCCCACGAGGGGCTCGCGATCACCTGCTCGACGGCAATGATGTCGTAGTGGCTCAAAATGGTCTTAATCACACCGTCTGCGGCCCTCATGTAGGCGGCCTCCTCGCCATGCAAGAGGGCATCCACAGTCGACTGTTTGGATGCCGTTGACGAAGACGCCGCCCCCCCCCTGCTCCCCCTCTTCAGCTTCTGCAGCGGCAGCCTCCTTCTTATTCCTGCCACGCTTCTTTTTATTATCCTCAGCCTTCGCCGCCTCCGCCTGTTTCTGCTGGCGTTTCAGTAGCAGCGTCCACGTGGGCGGTGGCAGGCCGCACAATTTCGCCTCAATATACTCGTGAATATTTTTGCCGAGTAGCGCCTGCCGGTTCCAGCCCGCCTTTACGTCTTCCACGGGCTGCCCTGTCTTTTTTGATACTAGCGCCAGCACCCGCTTCTCGTCGAAGGGGAAGTGTTTGTCCAGCACCTTCGACACTGAGCGGAGGGCCGTGTGGCCGAGTTTGTACTGGTGCCACTTGGCATCAAATATAATGTCCACCCCGGACGGGTGCGGGACACGCTTCATTCGATGCGGTGGCGCACTGCTCTTCGTCTATGTGTGTATGCGTATCCAAGTCTCTATCTTTCTCTCTGTATGTATGTCTAATGTATGAGTGTATGATGTGTGGAATGTGCTGCACCCCCACCTGCTGACGGCGTGTTCGTGAGTACGGCCCCGGGCAGTGCAAAGGCGGTGCCCCCGCTTCTCTCCCCGTACGTGTGTGTACGGCCCCCTGCCGCCTATGCACTGCAGCCGAGACACACGGGAAAGTATCACAAAAACGAAGACAGAGAAACAGAAAGTTTCGCACAGGGAGCACACCACAAACGAGCGTACACGGTGGCAGTGCCACGGCTTCCGGCCAGCCACGCCTCAAGGTGCGGGTGTAAAAAACACAAAACAAAAAAAAAGCACACTTGGACATCACAATTCCTTCCGTCCCGCCTCAGCTCCCCCTGCCAGACCGCAATCTTTTTCTTTTCTTCATTTTCTTGCCGCTGCCGTGCTTGGCAGCGGCGGCGGTTCCCGCGGCCCTCATCAATACATACATAGGTGACCGACACGGAACAAGGCACCCCACACGCACACACACACCTGCGTGCACAAAGTTTTTACCGCGCAGGACTCACCTCCCGTTGCGTACACTCGCGTCTCTCTCTCTCTCTCTCTCTCTCTCTCTCTCTCT